CCACATCGACACTAAATCAACCAACCCTGTTGAAGTAAGTGCTTTCACGTTTCGGAATTTGATTTCGAACAGCAGTCGTTTTCGAGTTTCGTTGTGTAAGGACTGATGGGTATTTCTGACATTATTTGTCAAAATTTGAGGATTCAAATCAAACATGCTATTGTTGATAGAATTTTTTGGTCGAAATGTAATTGCCATTTTGCCGTTATTATCGTTCTTTCCATCGGTATTTGAATTACATTCGTTGTTAATATTATCGATGTTATTGTCTGATCCTTGATCCTCTGATCGCTTCATCTATTCTATCTGAACTTATCTTACCATTGCGCGTAGCATATTGAATGTGATGAATTCTCGATTTGCGCCCGGAATACATTGTCGAATTGGTTGAGATTGCTTGTGTTTGAGCAAAAATCCGCAAGCACTTTGGCGTTTAGTGTATCGACGGTGTGCGAAGTTTCGATTAAGAATAATTTATATCAATCTACGATTCGGGGAATCAATCATGTGATGTGGTTTGCGTTAGGTGAGAGCTCGTGAAAATTCGCCCAGAAATGATGTATTTCGATTATTCTGTGCTCAATTCGTGGGAGGGGAACAGTCAAAAAATATGCATGATCGAATATCGAATCGCGAAAATATCGAAAATTTGTGAATTTCTTTCGTGTTTCTGATTTTCGTCAATAGTCAAGCAGCGACGAGCGTTATTTATTTTACCACATAACAGAGCGATCTTATCAAATTGGTGTTTTGATTTTTAAGTTAGTTGAGGCAAACGATTTAGTGAAATCATATTACTAAAGCTGAGCACATAAGAGTGGCAAAATTAATGAAATTTACTCAGAAGTGGTTTTGAAATTAGGAAATTCGAGGAAATTTAGGTTGTAATCTCTTATTTGAGAAGCGTTACGGTTCCTCTTCCGATCACGAGTCTTCTCGAAGAAGCAGTCTTCGCTTCTGCAATATGTTCTTCGTCTTCAGTGGTCTCTTACTTCACAAAACTCGCCAAGTTTACATTCTTCATAGTTCACAATTAAGGAACTGCGCTAGTAGGCCCTCATGGCACAATACGATTCTTCAAAAGTTTTTGTCAGCAAAACGCAAATCTATCGGATCATCTCATGTTGTTCTTAGGGCATTTGTTAACAGTATTCCTAACATGTGATTTAGTATATTCGTAGGTTGAAGCTGATTTTATTAGGTGAGTTAGCGTGTTTTCTAAAGGGCCTACATATAATTGAATAGTGAGGGTGGTGGAAGATTAGCATTTTATGTTGTTATATTTTGAATAATTTCCTGTTGATGTGTGTTCAAAAATTTGTTTGTTACATTCCCATCATTCTTAACATTTTCGATTGCATTCATTAAATTACATTTACTCAGCAGCACCGTCAACAATTGCTTTTGAATTAGGTTTCCAATAGAACTTGGGCCGTTTAGAGCTGTGACCAATTGAATTAGGTTTTGAATTGGTCGAAGCTCCAATGGCCCAATCTTAAACGTAGTGATCAGTTAGAAACGATCAGCAAATGTTGCGACTCCTTCTGTTTAGGCCTGAGCTTGTGCGTTCGTTCTTCTGTGATGTATGATTTGAGAAACTCGTAGACTCAAGCTGATTTAGTTATGTGAGTAAGTCATTGATTCACTTAAATTAAAAGAACTGATAATGAACATCAGCATAAGAATATCTTCCGAAATTGACAGGAAATCTAAACATTTTTGTGAAATACCTATTAGAAATCAACTGATTTTAAAGTGAAAAGGTTGAAATTCACTCCGAAAATATAATGAGGCGAATGAAAGAGGTTCAAAAAATTTTTATACTCTGAGGAAAAAATGCTCCAAATGTGAAGGCATATATAAGGCTTATCTAGGTGTTGCTCTACTAAGAATGGCGAAAGTGAATTTTTCACTATTAGATTAGAATTACTAATGAATTTGATTTGNTTTGATTTGATGCAAAAACGAATGAATTTTTAAATTATCATATTATCGTTATCATCACTGCTATACAAATTATGTTTTTGCTAATGAACGAAACGAAATTAAAGATTCATTTAATGAAACGCTTCTTTGTTGGTGTTATATGGAGAAACTAGTTATTTTTATTGCATAATATACAAACACATAACAGAGCTGGTGGGGAATTCAGTTGAAACTTTCATGTTGTCTTATTTACATATTGCAATCAAATAGTCTTGATTACTTGTTTTGGGGTGATCTCATTTGATCAGTTGTTGAATGAAGAACGAATATAGTGAAACATTGATAGTTTGGATGGTAATAACTTAGAAATTTATATTATTTATTCAAAAGTGATTTATTGAATATTGACTTTAGTGTGTTCATTGGCATTTTAATTAGACTGTGTTTGATTTTGCTTTAAAATATTGCGCATTTTCAAGTGTATTGGTTCATTTGGTTATTTTTTCATGTCGTTGAATACATTGCTACTATTCATTTTCGTTCGTTTAGTCTCTTTTTGTGTCATTTATGAATTTTGTATTTTACAAGATTGTTCATTGTTCCGAAGATCCTGCATCTTTCTTCACTAGGAACATTTTATAGTTTCTTTAGTGCAGTTATAAATATGAATATTGCGATTTTTTTCTTTGGTAATTCCATTTCGGGAAAACTGCATTTGTTAAGTGAAAAGGAATCAGTGTATTGGTTTATTTGGTTATTTTTTCGTGTAGATGAGCGAATCAGTCAATTTTCAATTAGGGAATCAGATTGTAATAATGAACTGAATCGAGGAAGTTGCAATTGAATGTTGTTTATAGCATACCTTTCGACGAGCCGTCGTGCTCAGAAGAGGGCACGACGACCACAACGTCGTCAGTAACGCCGATCAATGAGGACACTGGTGGTGGTGGCAGTGGTTCGAGACGAGGTCGATCCTCGGCGAACGCTAGAAAGAGTATTTTCTTCGGGAAGGATAAGGCGGACATGTTGAATCGATTGACAACACTCCGCGATGAATTCCAACGACCCGTTGCCATGTTCCAATTGGAGGAGCATTGGACGCAGATTGTTCACAAAAGCGACCAGTTAAGTAAACGTGCTCAAGAACAGCAAGAGGCCATCTGGGAGTTCGTCACCACTGAACATCGATACCTACAGGTTCGTATTTTATTTCAATCATCAGTTACTGCTGAATTGCTTTTCAGGGATATATTTTGTGCATCTGTGTTCTGAGTAATAGTAATTATAATGGTAATGATAATAATAGTAGTAATAGTAATAATAATAGTAATAATAATAATAAAAATAATAATAACAATAATAATGATAGTAATAATAATAATGGTAATAAT